CAAAACCTCTATTATGACTAAAGGGAGGTGAAAATTTATGTTTAGAATGATTAAGAAGAAACTAGCAGCCTGGAAAAAAAAATCCAAGTACTTCCCAATCTTAGGGGCTTTTGAATTAGGCTAGGCCTGGCCTGCGCAGTACTGCCATGGTACTTCCTGTCCTGTCTCTGCCATTTCATTTCCTGCAATTCCTGTTCTCAGGAGCCACCTCCTCCATTATTTTAAACCACAGTTAAACAACTTTTTTTAAAAAAGATCTTTCTATTTTTATTGGAAAGGAAGGTTTACAGAGGAGAGACAGATCTTCTGTCTACTGACTCATTCCCCAAGCAGCTGCAACGGCCTAAGCTGAGACGATCTGAAGCCAGAACTTTCTCCAAGTCTCCCATGCGGGTGCAGGGTCCCAAGGCTTTGGGCCATCCTGGACTGCTTTCCCAGGCCACAAGCAGGGAGCCGGACGGGAAGTAGAGCAGCCAGGACACTAATTGGTGCCTATATGGGATCCTGACTCATGCAAGACAAGGATTTAGACACTAAGCTATCACACTAGGCCCACCTTTATCTATTTATTTATTTATTTTAAAGTAATAGCCTATGTGCCTATTCTTGTTTTCTAGATGGCAATATCAGGATCAGTATTTCCTGGACTACCAGACAAAGACTCCAGTACAAAGCAGCAATTTTAGTTTTTTAGAAGTTTTATATGAAACAGTAACACATGTACAGAATAATAGAGGGAATGAGGGAAAGAAGGAGCGGGGAGGGAAAAGGATAGAAAATTTTGGTCTACTGGTTTAGCCTCCAGATAGTCACAAAACTGAGGACTAGGCCAGGCATAGCCAGGACTCAGGACTCCATCTAGATCTCCATGTGAGTGGCAGGTGCCCAAGTACTGGTGCCATCTTTCACTGCTTTCCCGGACATATTAGCAGGGAGCTGAACCAAAGGTGGAAGAACTGGCACCTATATGGGGAAACTAGCACTATAGGTAGCACCATAATACTGATCTTCTAATTTTAATTTTTTACAGTGTAACTAATGTGGGACAGAAAGGCACGAAGTTAGTTTATGCAAGTTGGCATTCTTGCATCATTGCAGTGAAAAGATGTCTCTTTGACGTCAATTTGATAAGCCTACTTTCTCAGGATGCACCTGTGGCACCCAGGACCAGGGTTCAGGCTCAGGCTCAGGCTGAGACTCCATACTGTTTGCATATCCAAAGGTGCAAGGCAGGACAGAATTCTCCCTGCCTCAGATGCACCTTCCAGCTTGCACTTTCTGTGATGGGCCTCACTCAGAGGTACTGTTGTGGCTTGCACTCCTTCCACTGCTGGAAGGCATGTGGACATTCTGGTCTCGTATGCTCTTCCAGCACGGAGCTCACACAGACCTTAACCCACTCTCAGATATACCCATATACTGCTTTCAGTTTTTTCCAATTTATGGGCGATCCTCTGACTCACTTATGTTGCGTTTTTCTGTGTGGGTGGCACACACTCATGTATGAATGTACATTTGTTCATTTACTGCCAAATAAACTCTGTTCCTAACTGCATGTGATATCAATCTCCATTTAGTATTTCTACCTCTGCAGGAGGCAAGAACTTGGATTAAAAATTAACATATTCATTGCCAACACCACTATCAGCCTCTCCTTCCTCAGATGAAGATGGAAACTTTCCCTTCTAGCTCACGTCCCTTTGCTCTTACCCTTTCCTAAGCTACTATAAACTAAGCCATCATCAGGCTGGTTAAAGAAGTAAAATCCTGTGGCAAGGCTTTCTTGCCTGAGACTGAAAAATAGTCAGAAAACACCTGCAGGATCCTTTCTCACCTCCAAATTCTGCTTATCTGGTTATAAAAACGCTGGCACTTCCCACTCTTCTTTTAACTGACATCTGAACTTACTCCTCAGTCAATTCTGAAATGTACTGGCTCCATTTTCTAACCAGTCCATTTCCTGAAATACTCTTAAAACTAATACGTTTTAAGCATTTGAGACTGTCATTTTTGGAAAATCTTTCGGTAATCTGCAGTCTTTATGGCTCCCAATGGGCAGTTTCCCTAAACTTACAGGAAGAAAATGATGCAAATAAATTAAAAAGGGAATTCTTTTATACTGAAATAAATCCAGCATATAGCCAAGAAAAAGATCTTTTGTTAAATGGTGTCTGCATACTACTCCACTACCAATGGAGCAATACTGCTCCTCAAAAAATACCATAAATCTGATAGATTAAAAGATAACTTCCTATTGAGAAATAGAACCTAAATGCCTCTCTCTGGGCTGGCCATACTGATTTGACTGACCAAAAGAATACAGAAGTAAGGGCCCACTGCGGTAGCCTAGTGACCAAATACTCAATCCCATATGGGCAAAGGTTCGTATCCCTGCTGCTTCACTTCCTTTCCAGCTCCCTGCTTGTGGCCTGGGAAAGCAGTTGAGGGTGGCCTAAAGCCTTGGGACCCTGTAGCCATATGGGAGACCCTGAGGAAGCTCCTGGCTCCTGGCTTTGGATAGGCTTAGCTCCAGCCATTGCAGCCAGTTGGGGAGTGAACCAGTGAATGGAAGCTCTTTCTCTTTGCCTCTCCTCTCTGTAAATCTACCTTTCCAATGAAAATAAATAAATCTTTTTTTAAAAAAGTGTTTTTTCCCATTTAATCCTCAGGACAATACAATAAATAGGTATTGTCACAGAAACAACTGTAGAGTTTCATACTTCCAGCAGGTGGTCCCGAGACATGGAAGCAGAAAAAGCAGTTTAAGCTACTTGGACAAAGTTCCTATTAGTTCAAGATCTACAGGAGATAGGTTTGGTTACACTGGATCAAAAACAGACTTGTGCCTGGATCATGCTTGTATTACTGCTCACTGTAATATAACAGCATGCTAAAATGACACAGCTACTCGCTCTCATGAAAGGGAACAGATCACATATAGTTATTTAACTTGCTAATTCCAATCACATTTGTAATTTGGTTTTGGTAGACATTTTTAGTAACAGCTTTATTAAATGTAATTCACAATACCATATGATTCAATCCATTTATGTGTCAACTTTTCTTTTTCCGGTATTGAAGAGTTGTGCAGCTGTCACAATCTCTGAATTCTACCAAAGAAACCTATTTCACCACGAGTAGTCATTCCCTATTTCTAAACAACTTTCCAAGCCTCAGCAACCACCAGTCCACCCTGTCTCTGAGGGTTCGCCTATTCCAGACATTTCCTTTAAAAATGGAACCATACAGGGTGTGTCCTCTCACGTATAATTTCCTCCACTTAGCATGCTTTCAGGTTCATCCATGCTTCTCCATGTATCTACATCCCTTTCTTATTAATTCAAATAATATTCTATTATACAAATAAGCCACATTTTATTTACCCATTTGTCAGCTGATACATGTGTGGGCTGTTTCAAAGTTTGGCTACTGTGAATACTGTTACTATGAACGGCTGTGCCAAAGTTTTTACATGGGCACATAGTTTCAATCCTCTTGGATAAAACTAACACGAAAGTGCTAAATCACACGGCAGTTCTTCATTTAGTCTTTTGAGGAACTGTCAGATTTTTCCCCAAAACTACTGCTTCAATTTACATTTCTACCAGTAATAATTATACACAAAGGTTCCAATTCCTCCATCTCTCTCCTAATGCATGCTATTATCTGTCATTTAAATCACCATTCTAATGTGTGTGAAGTGGTATTTCATAGAAATGTGAGGAAAACTATACTGGCATTATGTGCTTTTTGTCTTAAAAAACTATTAAGATACTCAGTGCACTCAAACATTGAGTTGGCTTTGAGTTCCCAGAGCTCTTTTGTACAGTCCAGATAGAAATAAATACCTTATCAGATCCATAATTTCTAAGTATATAATCTTCTAGTCTGCAAGTTGCCTTTTTTACTTACCTGATTGTGTTTTGTGAAGCATAATTTAGATGAAGTCCAATTAATATTTTAAGCACCAGGGGGCAGATAGTCTGTCAGAACTACTCAGTTGCATTGTCGTAGGAAAGAAGCCGCAGATAGTACATTAAAAGTCAGAGTGTCGCACTGTAGTCAAACATTATTTACAAAAATAGGGTGGCCATGCTCGTTCCTGCCTTATGATCTTGATAAATAATCTGAAAGTTGTAACATTAAGCCCTCTATGTGCTGCCTGTATCTCTCAAGACCTTACTGTTGAAACAGAAAACCATCTAGACTTCTCCCTCAGCCAAAGCATCACAGCCAACTTCAATGTGGTTAGAGATATCCTCCCTACATGAGTCCTACTAGAGGACACAAAGGAGTTATAGGCTATTTCCTGCCAAATGATTTTTTTTTAAATATTTTTATTGTAAAGTCAGATATACAGAAAGGAGGAAAGAGAGAAGATCTTCTGTCCACTGATCTACTTCCCAAGTGGCCACAAAGGCTGGAGCTGAGCCGATCTGAAACCAGGAGTCAGGAGCTTCTTCCAGGTCTCCCAAGCGTGAGCTGGGCCATGATCAACTGCTTTCCCAGGCCACAAGCAGGGAGCTGGATGGGAAGCAGGGTATGAACCAGTGCCCATATGGGATCCCAGCACATGCAAGGTGAGGACTTCAGGCACTAGGCTATCATGCTGGGTCCCTGCCAAATTACTGTGAGAGACCAGTTTAATTATTCTCATTATCTTCAAGTAAGGACACTAAGACTTTGAAAGACTCTGAAACAGGCTCTGCTCCACAGCTAATATTTACATCTCTGTATTATTCAGACTCCAATATATTATTAAACTGATGAAGACAAAAATATGGCAAATCAAAATATACAATTAGCTATACCTGCTAGAATAAACAGAAGTATCATTCTGTAAATACTCTTTTTAACGAAGAAGATTGCAATTCAGTATATAATTCAGTACAGAATTTACAGTTTTAAATACTCTTTTGGACATTTTTTTGTGCTTAACAATTATCTATGAAATAAAAAATCCCTTTCTTTTCTGGATTTTGAGGAATCCCTGCTCCTACCTGACTCTGGTTAATGGCTGCATGGTTGCCATGGAACGGAGACTGTCTTTCTTTATCTCGATGATGTCGACTGCTGTGTTTACTTCTCTGCAACTGCTGACGTAATTTTGCAATCTGAAAAAAGAAAAAACGAATGTAACATTTTCACACTACATAAAAACACACTTCTTAATTAGAACCAGTACAATTTCAGCCTAATTCCTTTGATTTTAAGAATCAAATCACAAAATCTGATTCAAAATTTACACACATACACACGTATGCCTACCTCTTTTTTTTTTTTAGATTTATTTATTTTTATTGGAAAGTCAGATCTACAGAGAGGAGGAGAGACAGAGAGAAAGATCTGTCCGCAGACTTTAGCTGCTAGGCTACAGTGCCAGGTTCCATCTACGTTTTAAGAAGAAACAAAATTATGGGACTTGGTAGCCTAGTGGCTAATACCCTCACATTGCATGTACCGGGATTCCATATGGGTGATGATTCATATTCCAGCTGCTCCACTTCCCTTCCAACTCCCTGCTTGTGGCCTGGGAAGGGAGTGGAGTGTGGCCCAAAGCCTTGGGATCCTGCACCCATGTGGGAGACCAGAGGAAGTTCCTGGCTCAGCTTAGCTCTGATCGTTGCGGCTGCTTAGGGGGGTGTACCAGTAGACGGAAGAGCTTTGTCTTTCTGTAATCTGACTTTCCACTAAAAATAATAAATAAACCTTAAAAATTATGTCTCAACATTATAACATTATTGTCATTCTTGCAGCTTCCCAAGCACTAAACGTATTGGAAATTTTCAGCATTTAAAATAGACTACATTGGGCCCGGCGCAGTGGCGCAAGTGGTTAAAGGTCCTCGCCTTGCACGCCCGGGATCCCATATGGGCGCCGGTTCTTATCCCGGCAGCCCCGCTTCCCTTCCAGCTCCCTGCCTGTGGCCTGGGAAAGCAGTCGAGGACGGCCCAAAGCTTTGGGATCCTGCACCCGCGTGGGAGACCCGGAGGAGGCTCCTGGCTTCAGATCGGCATAGTATCGACCCTATCGGCCCGTTGCGCTCACTTGGGGAGTGAATCATCGGACGGAAGATCTTCCTCTCTGTCTCTCCTCTCTGTATATCCGCCTTTCCAATACAAAAATAATAAAAATAAATCTTTAAAATAGACTACATTACATCTTTCAGAGTTTGAAAATAGTAATTAGTCTCTCATTGCCCTTACTGTAAATTTTTTAGATTCCTTTGTCAAATATCCAATCTTTAGCAGCTCAAAATACTGAGTATTTATATATCAAGTCAAGCAATGAAATACATTCACAAATTCTTGACATACTAAACATAATTTAAAAGAATATCCCGTTATCATTCCTTTAAGGAAGAGTATGCATAAAATACAAATGGTTTAAATGAGGGGCAAGGAAAATTGTAATCAGAGTATAGAGCCAAAATCAACTTGGTTAAGCTAAATTACTGAATTTCAGAAACATTACTAAATACAGGAAAATAATAAGCATAAATATGTTGCATCACAACAATATTTTTAAGTCTAGTGTTTTATGTTGACAAAATATAAACTCTTCCAACAAAAATAGGACAAAGACACATTAAGTAATGCATGTTTTCCTACTCAAATCTTCATTACACCAAAAAAAAAAAAAAAAGGAGTGCTTTTCTGTTATTTTGCTGCCATCAACTTGAATGAATCAGCTAATTAAAGGATCAAATTCTGCACCCTTGGGCGTGCGTCTCTAACCTCCTTCAGCTGGTCTGTGCTGCCCCAGGATGCTGAGCGCTTGTGTGATCCTTTCTTCTTCTCGGCGTATTCTTCAGCCCATGCACTCTCTGTCTATAAAGGAAAAAAGAAGGGAGGAGACTTTTAATAAAATTCATTTAACAGTATTTACAGTATATTCTGCTATCATAGAGACATTCTCCCTTTTGGCTGGAATCTCCAACTTCCAGTAGTTCTCCAAGATGATGAACACCAAGGTAAAGAGGAGAGGTGCCTGCCACTTGTTGTCCAGGCCTTTCAGGAAACATGGAGTTGTTCCTTTGACCACATGCATGTGTGTTTACAAGAAAGGTGACATTGCAGATATCAAGGACATGGCTACTGTTCAAAAAGGAATGCCCCATTAAGTGTTAACCGTGGAAAACCTGGAAGAGTCCACAGTGTTACCAAGCATGCCGTTGGCATTGTTGTAAACAAACAAGGGCAAGATTCATGCCAAGAAAATAACTGTGCATACTGAGCATACTGAACACTCCAAGGGCTGAGACAGCTTCCTGAAAAGCATGAAGGAAAATGATTTGAAAAAGAGGGAAGCCAAAGAGAAAGGTCCCTGGGTTGAATCCCAGTCTGTCCCCCTAGAGCAGCCCACTGTGTCAGAACCCATGGAAAGGAGTCTGAGCTGTCAAAGCCGACTCCCTAGGAATTCATGACAAAGTAAGTGTGAAGGAAAAATAAAAGTCCTCTGGACCCAAAAAACAAAAACAAAATAACATTCTCATTGCAGAAAAATTAATCAAAATATTTAAAACACAAATTATAATTTTCCTAGTGTTAGTGAATTACAATGACCATTTCAGCATGTTTCTGTCATTTCTATTAATAATAAAATCAGCAATTATTATTAATACATAATCACATTCTACCATTTCTTGAACAAAGTTAAGTACTTGCATAGACATGCATGCCTACATGCAATAGCGGACATTCTTACATTCTTACTGAACACTGGACATTGTACTTTCATATATTTTCTCTGATTTAGTACATAAAATGTTGCACATCATCTGTAGATAAGGAAACCACAATGCAACACAAGCTGCCTCTTAAGTCTCTAAGTTACGAAGCAGCAAAAGCCAAGGAATAAACCTAACACTACAGAGTTCATCATTTTAACTTCTAAACTAAGTAGTCTTGTTTAAAGAATACAGAACATAGCCTTAAAAAATGCTAAGTTTTTAGCAGTTACACCATATCCAATATTTTAAAAGTTTATCAAGAGCGGGCATTGTGGCACAGCAAGTTTAGCTGCTGCCTGTGCTGTATTCCATACCAGAGCACCAGCTGAGTCCCAGCCACTCTGCCTCAGATCCAACCCCTAACATGCGGGGAAAGCAGCAGAAGATGGCCTAAGCACTTGGGGTTCCTGCCACCCACATGGAAGACTAATGGAATTATGAGCTCCTTGCCCGGCTCTGGTTATTTCAGCCATTTGGGAAGTGAACATCCTTCTCTCCCCCGATTCCTCTGTCACTCTGCCTTTCAAATAAACAAATACATCTTCAAAAAAAAAATGCTTACAATTAAAATAGTGTATCATAAAGAACATGTAACTGAATACTTGACCATGAAAATATGCTCATCCCTTAGCTATCAGAAGAGAAATGCAATTTAGCAATTTAGCAATTTAGTTTAGCAATTTACTAAATTTAGCAATTTAGTAACATAAACCCTCCTATATTATTGTTAAGAGTGTAAACTAGTAAGCTTTAATGGAGGAGGATGCCGTGCCTGCTGTTCAACTTGTAAAGGCACAGGCTATTTGATACGGCAGCCCCTCTTTTGGCAATTTGTCCTGTATTGCACAAAATATAATATTTAGATATCAAATGACAATACTCCTTTCAGCTCTTTTCCTACAAATAAGAGATTGAGACAATGTAAATAAATTGGATTTGTCTAGGTTTGAATATATACATTATGGCATATCTTTACAACAGAATCATTTGCAGCTATAAACAATGATTAACAAAATTTACAATGTACAGATAGAAATCATATCCACAATATGTTGCCAAGTAAAAAAACTTGAAGATATAGGTAGTAACTGCCTACTTACAGGGCCACTAGAAAAAAAATGCGAATCACCCCTGGGAGGATATACGTGGTAGCAAATGGAATTGCTGCTAAAAGTTGTCTCCTGTACCTCTTTTTCCAGATCTAGAAAGCAGCCAAGCTGGAAGGCAGCTCAGAAGTTAGTTCTGATTTTATTTTTTAAGGATTTATTTATTTTTATTGGAAAACCAGATACACAGAGAGGAGAAACAGAAAGATCTTCCATCCAATGATTCACTCCCCAAGTGGCCACGACGGTAGCATCTGAGCCAATCCAAAGCCAGGAGCCTCTTCCAGGTCTCCCACGCGGGTGCAGGGTCCCAGGCCTTTGGGCCATCCTCAACTGCTTTCCCAGACCACAAGCAGCAAGCTGGAAGGTGAGTGGAGCAGCTGGGATATGAACGGGTACCTACATGGGACCATGGCATGTGCAACGAAAGGATTTTAGCCACTAGGCTCTTCCGCCAGGCCTGCTTCTGTACCTCTTAATATCTTACACTACCTGAATACAGAGCACATTCAAAACAATACAAAGCACTGAACTATCTTTGACATAGTATAATTTTCATTCTTAACCTACCTATCACCAATTACTAAACGGTCTTGTGAAGTGAAAAAGAGGTTTTCCAGAATCAAGAAACTGAGAGCACAATAGATCGGTGCTCTAAGTCTGGATATCTATAGCTAAGACAACTCCATTCTTTAAGATTTGTTTATTTTACTTGAAAAGTTGGGCTTATATAGAGAGGATGGAGATTTTCCACCCTCTAGTTCACTTCCCAAATGGCCTCAACAGCCAGAGCAGGTCTAGTCCTGAGCCGGGAGTCAGAAGCTTCTGGGTCTCCCACAGGGTATTGGGGGGGTCCAAGACCTGGGTTGTGCTCTGCTGCCTTTCCAGGCCATTAGCAGGGAGCTCAATCAGAACCAGAGCAACTGAGACTAGAATCAGCATCTATATAGAATGCCGGCACTGCTTGTTACACCATCATACCAGCTTCCAGGAGATTCCATTCTAATAAAGATCCTTAAATTCCAAATCAGAGGCAGGATAATTCAATCAACGTCCCATCCCTCTATATCTTGTTAAATCCTAAACTCTAATTTCAGTTTAAGGCTACCATCTGATGTTGTATTAAGTCCCAGAGGTGACCCTTCTTGGTACTTACCATTTCCCATACCAAGGTCCATAGCTCTGTATATAACCTTAAAACATCTGTCACAAAAGCCAATATAAACAGGACCAGAGTGCATAAAGTATAAAACTAAAATCAAAATCAAACTAATGACTAAAATAATCATGTATTTATTTGAAAGAGCTATGTAGAGGGAGATCTTTCATCAGCTGGTTCACTTCCCAGACCATGTGGCCAACCCAAAACAAGGATCCAGGAGTCTCCTCCAGTCTCCCCAGTGGGTGTCAGGGGCCTAACACTTGGGCTATCCTCTGCTGCTTTTCCCAGATCAAGGACAGAGAGATGGATGGGAAGTGGAGCACTCACATGGATGTCAGCATCACAGGCAGTGGCTTTATTCACTGTGTCATGATGCTGCTCCACAAAGTAATGATCATTCTTTTTTTTAAAGGTTCACATATATATGTATTTTATTTGAAAGGCAAATTTGCAGGGAAAGGAGAGATACAGACAGAGATGTTCTATCCAATGGATCACTCCTCTCCCCAGATAGCTGCAACAATTGGAACTTGGCTGACCTGATACCAGGAACCCTCCATGTGGGGGCAGGGTCCCAAGGCTTTGGGCCATCCTCCACTGCCCTCCCAGGTCATACTCAGAGAGCTGGCTTGGAAATAGAGCAGTCAGGACATGAACCATCATCTATAGGGGGATGATGGCACTGCAGGTAGGGCATTAGCCTGTTACACCACCACCACACTGGTCCCAAAGTAATGACCTTAATGTAAAAAAAATTTAAATCTTAATGAACACGTTCTTGGAAATATGCAGCACAGTAAGCATGGTTCAGATCACATATGTTGGTGTTAAACACGTTTAAGTCACAGTTAAATCATGTAACATTTTTGTCATCTTAGAAAAGGTATTTATCTTATGTGAACTTTAGCTTCTTCATTGACAAAAAAGGAAAAACATTATCTACCTACTAATATTGTAAGATGAATCAAAAGACTTAGCATATATGAGATAATTTTAACCTATAACAGATTTCACAAACTTAGAAGACATATAAGCAATGATACAAAAATCAGATATAATTCTGTACAATAAAGATATCTGAAAAGGAAATAAGAAAAAGTCCCATTTAGAAAGTAACCAAAAGGAAATACTTATGAATAAAAAAGGAGTATAGAATATGTAGAATAAAAACTGCAAATTACTGATGAAATAAATTTAGGAAAACAAACATAGAAAGGAAACAGGTTCATTAATTGAAAAACTTATTGCTAAAGTATTCATATTATCCAAGTCATCCATATGACCTACAAGTTTAATGCAATCTCTATTTAAAAAATTGAATAGTATTTTTTATAAAATAGAAAAGCCAAGTCCAAAATTTTTATGTAGGACTACAAGAGATCAGGAACAGCCAAATCAATTCTAAGGAAGAACAAAGCTAGAGGCATCATACTCCTTGATTTAAAAATATATTACAAGTGGGCCCAGCGGCATGGCCTAGCAGCTGAAGCCCTCATCTTGAAAGCGCCAGGACCCCATATGGACGCTGGTTCTAATCCCGGCAGCTCCTCTTTCCATCCAGCTCCCTGCTTATGGCCTGGGAAAGCAGTAGAGGACAGCCCAAAGTCTTGGGACCCTGCACTCGTGTGGGAGACCTGGAAGAGGTTCCTGGATCCTGGCTTCGGATCAGCATAGCATCGGCCGTTGCGCTCCCTTGGGGAGTGAATCATCAGACGGAAGATCTTCCTCTCTGTCTCTCCTCTCTGTATATCTGACTTTGTAATAAAAATAAATAAATCTTTAAAATATATATATATACATATATATGTATGTATGTATATATATATATAACAAGGGATGGCACCATGGTGTAACAGGTTAATTCTCTCTACCTGTGATGCTAGCAGGTGTCAGTTGGAGTCCTAGATACTCCACTTCTTATCTATATAATATATATAATACTAATACTTTAAATATATATGCTTTAAAATATATGTAGTATATATATTACATATAGTTTCTATATTTAAATATTGTATTACATATATATCCAGGAACAAAAGAAAGAGATCAGAAAATAAACTTACACCTTTTTTGGGGAACTGGTCTTTGACAGGGGTGCTAATCAAGAAAGAACAGTCTTTTTTTATTTTGATTTATTTATTTTTATTAGAAAGGCAGATTTACAGAAAGAAGGAGAGAGATAAAAATCATCCCATCTGCTGGTTCATTCCCCAAATGGCAGCAACAGCCAGAGCTGAGCCAATCCGAAGCCACAAGCTAATTCCAGGTCTCCTACGTGGGTGCAGAAACCTAGGTACTTGGGATACCTTATGTTGCTTTTCCAAGCTACAAGCAGAGAGCTGAATGGGAAATGGAGTACCTTGGACATGAACTGGTGCCCTTATGGGATCCTGGCACTTGCAAGGGGAGGATTAGCCAACTGAGCCATTGTGCCAGGTCCAGAAAGAACAGCCTTTTTTTAACAAACAGAAAAACTGGATATTCATGTGCAAAAGAAATAATCTGGATCTTTATACACAGAAATCAATTTGAAATGCATGAAACACTTAAACATAAGACCTGAGTCTGTACACCTCTAGAAATAAATACAAGGTTTAAGGGTCATGTCATTGGTCTTTCAAATGAGTTCATAGACATATGAAAAACAAATACACCAAAAGCAAAAACAGACAAGACTGACTGCATCAAATTCTAAACTTCTGTACAGCAATACATAATATGGGGGCTAGCATTGTTGCATAGACATGCAATGCTGGTATCCCAAATGGGTACCAGTGTGACTCACAGCTACTCCACTTCCCATCAGCTCCTTGTTAATGTACTTTGGAAAACAAAGGGAATGGCCCAAAGCAGTTAGGCCTCTGCCACCTAAGTGGGATATCATGATGAAGTTCCTGACTTCGGCCTTGCCCAACCCTGACCACCTTGGCCATTTGAGGAGTAAACCAGAAGATGAAAGATATCTCCCTCTCTCCTCTCTGTTGCTGCCTCTCTTTCGAATAATGTATCTTTAAAAATGAATACTATGTCAAAACTATGCTTGGATTTCAAGATTTTTTGTGTGTGGAATGAAACTTTAAAAAAATGTATTTATTAATTTGAAAAGCAGAATTATAGACAGAAAGGGAGAGACAAAGCTTGCCATTCACTTATTTGCTTCCCAAATGGTCATAACAGCTGGTGTTGAGCAAGCGGGAGCAGGGAGCCTGGAACTCCCATGAGGTGCAAGACCCAACACTTGAGCCACACATGCTGCTTTCCCAGGCACGTCACTGGGGAGCTGGATTGGAAGTGGAGCAGCTAGATGTGAACTGGAGCCTATATGCGATGAAAGCATCACAAAAGGCACCATCTCACCAGGCTCCCAAACTTGTTTTAATTTTCCTACAAACTTTTTTTAAAAATCTCTAACCTTTATTCTTTTAAGGGAATGAACTGAGTGGGGAAAAAAACCAAGCATGAAATAAATACAAATACAAACTATTATTGGCTAATCGGTTTATAACCACAACTAGTACAGAATGCCCTGCACAAAACACAATAAAGGCTCAAACACTGAAGCATTCCTTGGCAAGGCAGTCTCTGATATTTGGAATGTAGGCTGCAGTTCTTGTTTTTGCATGGATCACTGGGTTTGTGGCTGAGTCCATGCTTTTAACCAGATTTGAATAGGAGAATGGCGACCTGGCCCAGGGAGAAGCAGATGAAGTGTTTGGTTTCATTTGTCACATAACTACCGAAGTTTTTTCCCACAATGCAGTGCCAAGTGGGGTTGTATTTCTTGTCAAACTCCTTATTGATGGGGGCCTCAATATCCTTCTCTATGTTATATTTCTCCAGTGTTTGAGTAGCGCACTCCACTGAATCCTATTGCTTCTCTTCAGGCATATCCGCATTTTGATCACTGCCTTACAGTCGCACATGGTTACCATGGAATTGGGGCTGGCTGACTAAACCTGTCTCCTGGGGAAGGTGCTGACACTGCTCAGCTCAGGTGAGATGCTGCATCCTCCCAAAGCCATGGCGCACTTAGGTCCCTACAAACGTTTTAAACGTACTTTGTACATTAAGCAGTTTCCACAACTCAATAGCTAAAAAGCGAACACTATAATTTAAAATTCATTAAGGATGACTAGATTTTTCTCTGAAGACATACAAATAGTAAAAGAGTGTATGGAAAAAGTGTTCAACACCACTAATCAAGGAAATGCAAAAGAAAACAAAGCAAATGTCAGCAAGGACATAGAGAGACTGAACACTATCAGTGAAGACACAAAATGGTGTAGCCACTACACAGAATCAGGTTGCACAAGAAAATAAAACCTGTGATTTCTGAAATTACTGCAGAGCTATAATAATTAGAGAACACAGTATTGGTATAAGGACTGACATGCAGACAGATGGACTAGAACTCAGACTAGAAATACACATTCACATTTGTGGTCATCAACTGATGAATGGACACATAAAATAAGTCATATTCATGCAATAAAATGTCATTCAGCCCTATAAAGAAATGAACTGATGATGCAAGCTATTACACAAATCATCACACTGACTCAAAAAAGCCAGAGAGAAAATCACACACTGTATGATGCAAGCTGTGTCTAAAATAGGCAAACGCATGAAGACCGCTGTAGAACAGTGGCAGCCAGGGACTGAACAGTGGAACAGAGAGTAGAAAGAAACTGCTAGTATGTTTTGGTTTTAGAGAGATGGAACTCAGGACTCCAATCAGCACCCAGATATGACACAGGGTGCTGGCATTGTAGGCAGCAGTTCGCCACTGGCCACAGTGGCAGCCTCACAAGTTTGAAGATTTATAAGAGTTACCTTCAGTAATTCATACCATTAGTCTCCAATTTATTAACATTTTTCCATGTCTGATTTTAATTGTAGATCATATCACAAAGTTTCTGATTCACCTTTTCCACAAACTGGAAAAGTACAAGCTCATAAAAGAGAAATCAAAATCTATCTATGGTGGTAAAAAAAAAAAAAGTATCAGAAAAATAGAGGTTCCAAGAGAAAAAAAATCAAGAATTCAAACAATAAAACATAACTGGCTTATGCCTAGGAAACACACAAAATAAGCATGAAGGAAAAGCAGACACTAATCCCAACTCAAAACTGAAGATACTACGGTAAGACCTCTCTTAGGGAAATAAAGCCTAGGAGATTAAGGAAGTTGAAAAGAGAATTCTTTTGGGTAGAGAATCCCAAACTACCCAACCACATAAGCATACTATACTTTTTTTTTTTAGCATGCTATACTTTCTCTCCCTAACTTTGCATAGTAAGCAATTACAAAATGTATCCTCTAGAAATGAGTTTAAATTAATTAACACTTCTATGTAGGAAGGTGATGCTGTACACAAAAATTTTTACAAAAACATTTTTGGAAGGCAAAAATAATAAACAGATTTAAAAAGTGAAGGCTGAGGATTTGTGGGGAGCAGGCAGTGGCTGATGACAATACAGTTCTGTAAAAACTATAAAGCAGAAATGGACAATCACTCCACAACCTGTTCCACAGATCACCCCTGCTCTGCGGGGTTGCACTTGTACAAGGACTCTCAGGCCTTGGACACGAGAACAAGGAATGGCTGCCAAAGACACAAGGGAAAAAAAACAATGCTACATTTTTGCAACCTTTGCATCAAATTATAATGATAATCACACATAGAAAAATATTAACTATTCACTTATTCTTTTTAATTTTTTATTTTATAATATAATTCCAATTCTATAGGTTCTGGGATTTTATTCACTCATTCTTACAGCCAAAGTAAATGGGGAGGTATGAGACAGGACAGGGGATAAGATTAGTATCTCTAAAAACGTATTCCCATATTCCTAACTTTTTTTTATATTCCTAGCATTTTTGATGTTGCCCTTGTGCTTTCCGAATCCTCCTCCTCCTATTCCCTTACATCCCCCCAGGAGCTGGCAAAGGGAGTGATACATAATTGTTTCAAAATGAAGATACCAGGGCTCAGAGTGGAGACAAGATGTAACTTGTCAAAGGCCTACAGCAACGTTTTAGAAGCAACATCTGTAAAACAGGACAAGGTTTCTGTATTTTTGTATGGCTGGACTGCCTGGACAAGTTCCAGGCCACACCCTAGGGCCAGAAACTGCTCATCAGTCTCAGTAATCCTTTTTCCTGAATGTTCTTAAGCACAATATTCCAGGAAATTAACAGCTATTGATTAAATTACACAGGAAACTGAACCCACCTCTCATTCTTTTTCTGACAATTATTTAAGGTAATTTTAAAAATAACACGCATTTTTAAAATACCATCATGTACCATACCCGGCTTCTTGTATATCTCCTTATTCAGTTGTCTAAAAACTCTTTAAAGAATAGGTACTATTAGCTCCTCATACTTTTAAATAGCAGAGTACACATATCTTCAAGTACCTGGAGTCTAAAGATCACAAACAAGCACACCATAAGCTCAACAGCATTAGGTAGGGAAACACAAATCAAATCACAACCATCTACTACTGCATATCTACCAAGATGATTACCAAAAAAAAAAAAAAAAAAAGGCGTCCATGTTATAGAACAGCAGGGTTGCCACCTGCTAGTGCACTTAGGAAAGCAGTGGACGATGTCCTGAATAGCTGGGCTCCTGCCATCCACATGGGAAACTTGGACAAAGTTTCTGACTGCTGGCTTTGGGCTGACCCAGACCTGGCCACTGCAGTCATTTGGGCAGTAGACCAGCAGATGGAAGATTTCATTCTGTCTCTCTGTATCACTCTTTCAAATGAGCAAGGTAAACATTTTTTAAAAATTAAAAAGGCAAAATGTGAAAGATTTATATTATCTGAAGAGAAACCAGGTAATTCATGAAAAACAGTGAGTACCTAGAACTGTGTCACTAATGAAAGGACATCTCGGCAAAGACGGTGCATTTCTTTACTAAGCTGTGTCATACCATTCTTTGGGCCCTCTGCTGGAAAAGCAGAATCAAGTCTCAAACAACGCCTCTGAATTGTTCCCTCTAGTAGTATAGCTGTAGGACAGTACTGTACCACGCCTCTGTGAATGTAAGATAACTTGTACTTGCTTTATGACATGTAGTAGTGACTGTGCTCTATCAGAACTCTTTAATGATGCTACTCTAGAGTGTATGCTTTCCAGATGATGACTGAGAAACTAATTTTAAAAAAATGGTGCCAGGTACCACAACCATAACAGAACTTTGTTGTTTTGGGGTGTTTTGTTTTTGTTAATGGAGTGTTATTTTGTTCAGACGACTGCAGAACCTGGAAAAGCTGTTGCTGACATTGATACATAACATACTGCTATTACTGATCTTTTTATATATATATATACATACATATAATTGAATTTTTGGAAACTAGCTGTGATGTCAACTTTGAGAAAAGTACCCAAGTTTACCATGTTGAGTTGGCATTGTACAGAAATTAACAGTCATATTGGTCTAGAAATGTTAAACTTAATTTTTTTTCCATTTGTACAGAGATAACACAATGTATTAAATATGTAAAGTCTTATCTACATGGGTTTGATTACAGAACTAATAAAGTATTCTCTAAATAATGAAAAAAATAAAAAAGTAACAAGGGTCAGCATGAAACTTCAAGCTGCTGATGAGGATATAACTGTGACAGCTTCTTTAGTCTAAATGCTAAAGGACCCAGCAATCTTACTCCAAATGTGTCACAAGGAACAGAGCACAGTGATTCGTACGGATACCTGCAGCACTGTTCACAAAACAGCCAGGAGGGTAGAAGCAGTAAATCAATGGGCAAATAAAAGCAGGCATGTCCATACAGTGGAATATTATTCAGCCATTAAAAAATAAAGTTATGGCAGATGAACTTTGAAAACATTACGCTAAAGCACAGGAACACATAAATTACATGATTCCACTTACATCAAATACCTACGCCAGAAAAATTCATGAAAACAGGAAGTAGAACAGATATAGGGGAGAGGGAAAATAGGTGGAGTTGGGTTTCTACTCATTTTAGAGAATGAAGATTTAGAAATAGTATCAATGGTTGCATAATAGTACTAACATAATGCAACTAAATTGTGTGTTTTTAAATGGTCAAAATGACAAATTTGAGTTATACATAGTTTACCATAATTTTTAAAGAGACTTGACTAGTATACATTGACACTGGGTAGGGAAACCCAACATCAGCCAGTAAGAAATTTGGATTTTTGACTAATCATGCTTATGACAAATTCAGTTAATAAAGAAGGAAGCCAGCACAATAATTGAAAGACTAGAATGCCCAGCTACCACTGCACTGTTCTTCAGAGATTCAACACATGGTCTTTACAAGATAGATCAACAACGTGCTCTTGGTATGTTTTCCCATTACCAAACTGGAAGACATTTAGAAAAAGGTGAAGAGCATGGGATTTATATTTTATCAATAGAGTCAGAACTAAGTCCAAGCAACTTGCTTAAAAAAGGCTTATTTATTGAACTGTTCCCACAGCTTAAAGGGCTCCCACTGGATTGCATGATAGTATATTCCTCTTAACATGACAAAGATCTGAGCCCACTGAGTCTGAAATTGCAGGGGAAAATTAAAGAGCATTGCACAAATATTCAAGGAAAAACTGCATACAAATTTAAAAGTGCCATGTGGATTAAACAGAAAACAAAAAGAGATTAAATTCATTTCCACACTCTTACAGTAAGGAGAGCAACACTACAGATTTTCAGTAATTGCAGAGCTTGAATTACTAAACAGTTTTGCAGAATTCTGGTTTAAAAAGTTGAACTTTGAGGAAAGATCCATTATCTCTGATAAGTCTACACACTTACATTTAAGTATTTGCCAGTGAAGTATAGACCACAAATTAATCTCAAATCCCACACATTGGTCTTAACCGAAGGACTTGGTTTCAAGACTATCAGTCAAAAAATAAGTTAAGATCACCAAGAACACCTGGAATTTTGGAAACCAACATGAAAATTCAAAACCACCCTAAACTGTATTTACTAAGCCCCAAATAAAGACATTCTTTCAAAACCTTCTGGGCTAAGAATCCACCAGCCCAAGAACATTTCCAAAAGTTCTCAAAAAAGGAAATAAAAGGTTTCTACTTTGGTGGGGGGAAAAAAAAGTAGGCATTGTATATATAGATTTGTACATTTGAAATATAAACCAAGCAGCACCCTAGCTGATTTCCAACAATCAAGAATCTTCTAAATCTGTAAGTGCTTTTCATTCTTCAATAGCAACAGAGACAATAAATATTCATTTATTCCTTTGCAAATATTCCTTGAGCACTTATTCCATCAGGTATAGTACCAACTCTTGAAATGGAAACACAACAACAGACAAGCCAGTCACAATTTCTTTTATAGGGTTCATTATCTAGTTAGTATAAAACACAATTATATTAATAATTCATTCCAACTGTTGTGGCAAATACTCTTAAAAAAACTACAACAAGCTAACATTTGTCTTCCACTGGTAGTACTAACGCAGACCTCAGCTTCCTTGCCTGTGAAACCAGGAATGAGATCTGAATGATTTCAAACATTGTTTAATTAAAAAATGCTAAAATTATAAAATCTTGCTTCTTGGGATCCTTTTCCAGGATATTGATAGAACCTCTTAGCAGTTTAATATACTCCCCACCTCCCAAGACTTCTGTAAGGTTGAATGGTAAGTAGTCCTTATTATTAGAAATCTAAAGTTCAAATTCTGCATGTTGGGGCCGGTGCCACAGCAGAGCAGGTTATAAGCCTCTGCCTGTAGCTCCAGCATCTCACATGGGTGCCAGTTCAAGACCGTGCTGCTCCATTTCCAATCATTAGCAGTTGTCTGATAACAATATAGGAAACTAGCTCAAACCCAGCTATTTTAGCCATGTGGTGAGTGACTCAGCAGATGCAAAATCTCTTTCTCTGTAATTCTGCCTTTCAAATAAAAATAACAATCTTTCAAAAAAATTCTGGATGTTAAGTACATTGTGATGTTTAAAACTGATAGAGAACAGCGGGGGAAAATCAGACTCATAAATTATCTCTGTATGTATCAAAACTACTTTGGGAATAGTTTAAAATGCACATTCCCATTCTCCAGCTGAGATCTATTTTAGAATATCTTAAGGTAATGAGGCCAGCGTTGTGGCATAGTGGGAAAGCCTGCAATACTAGCATCCCATACAGGTGTTGGTTCGTTATACCTTGATTACTTTTCATCAAACATCCTGGGAACCTAATGGAACATGGTCCAAGCACCCGGGTCCATGCTACACACATGGGAGATCCTGTCTTCAGTCTGGCCCAGCCCTGGCCACTGCAGCCATCTAGGGAGTGAAACCAGTGGATGAACGATCTGTCTCTTCATCCTCCCCTGCCCTCTCTCTCTGTAACTGACTTACAGATGGATATAGATGGATGGATGGATGGAAAGGAGAGGGAAGGGGAAGTAGAAAAGAAAAAAGGGGGAGAGGAGAGAACAGGAAGGGGAAGACAGGAGAGAAGAGGAGGCTGTAAAGAAAAGCAGACTGAGAGCAGACGGCAGGAAAAGGGAAGAGAGAGGAGGGGTAAGGCAAGGAGAAAGGAAAAAAGGAAGGAGGAAATCTGTTGTGTCATCCACGGAATCCGCATTTGGATAACTTCCCGGGAAATTCCAGTGTATACCAATGCTCTAAAAATCTGAACACAGAGTAGAAGAAATATCATGAGAAACAGTTTTAGGATAAAACACAGATCAGAACTGTAACAGACTTACCTGTGTGGCTTTGTCCCTCATGCAAGGTGTGACTTGCACGTGACTGTCACGAGGCCAGTGTCCAGCAAGGTATGGAGCAGCAAGTGTATCCAGGGAGGAAGTGCGCCGGATAATACTGGAGGGGCTTGACGAGGGTGGTCGTGTTTTGTCACCTGGATTTAAGACAAAGGCATTTATTTAGAAAAGTAGGTTAGGAAGAAAATAGAGTAGAAACTAAACTTTAAATCGTGTTTAAACTTTCTAACTTAAATATATAAAAAATAAGCAATAAAAAGAAACAGCCATTGACACAATTGAGAAGAAAATGAAAATTAAAAATGTTATTAATTTTTATGGGCAGGCCTTTAGCTCAGCACTTAAAATGCTGATTAGGTTGCCAGCATCTCTTATTGGAACGTGTGGATTGAATCCCAGCTCCACAGCTAATTCCAGCTTCCTGCTAATCGGCACACTGGGAGACAGCAAGTTATGGCCCAAACACTTGGGTTTCTGCCTGCTAAGGAGAGATGTGGAGTGAACTCCAGGTTGCTGGCTTTGTCCTGCTCTAGCCCCAGTTCTTGTGGGCATCAGATCTCTCAGTGTCTATCTTTGATAATATGCGTAATTCCAAGAAAGAAAAAAAATATTCAAAGAGAAATTATTTTCCAGAATTGATGAAAGAAAATAATCTTCAGAACAAAACAGAATATAGACACATCGTGGTGAAAACGTAGAACTCTTAATATAAAGTGCAAAAATCTTACAGAAGAGGACCAAAAACTAATTCTCATCAGTAATAATAAAGGACAAAACACACTGATGAGCTTCATGTAGCAATGATATTTTAACTATCAATCTAGAATTCTATACTGTTATTCAAGACTGAGGGTAGGGGCCAGCAAAGCAATGTGCCCAAGCAGGGTGAACCACCACCTGCTACATAGGGATCCCCTATGGGTGCCTGTTTAAGACCCAGCTGCTCACAATCAATCCAGCTCTCTGTGAATGAGCCTGAGAAGGAAACTGAAGAAGACCCAAGTACATGGGTGATACAGCAATGTTGGAGATGCAGATGAAGCTCCTGGCTCCAGTCTGGCCCAGTCCCAACTACTGCTGACATTTATGGAATGAACCAGTGTATGGAAGCTCGGTTATGCTCTCCCTCAAACTCTTTCAAATAAATAAATCTTAACAAGCAAACACTTTCATTCAATGTAAACTTTCATTCATAAAGACTAGAAGATTGATCAAGCAAACACATTCCACAGAAGTTACTTCAAAGAAGGTATCACAGGGGTCAGTGCTGTGACGTGGGACAGAAAGCTACCATGTATGGCAATGACATCACACATGAGCATTAGTTTGAGACCTGGCTGCTCCACTTCCAATTCAGCTCCTTACTAACGGCATGGAAAAACAGCAGATGGCCCAAATGCTTGGGCCCCTGTGTCCATGTGGGAAGACTCAGAACAAAATCCTGGCTTCGCACCCACCCTACTGCAGCCACAGCAGCAAAGTGGGAAATCAATCAGTGGATGAGTACACACACACACTGTAGCTCTGCCTTTCAAATAAATTGTAAAGAAAAAAAAGTACTACAAAAGGAAACTAATTTAAACCAAGCAAGAGTGAGGTGTAAGAAGTAGAACTGAGCAGCAAAGACAGGTATAAATAAACCAATAATTAAGTACTAATAAACAGTGAATACGAAAGTGACAATAGTAACAACTTAGAAATGAAAGTGGGGATGGCACAGTGATGCAACAATGCACTGATCCTCTATCTGTGGTGCTAGCATCCCATTTGGGCACCAGCTCATGCCTGCTACTCCACTTCCAATCCTGCTCCCTGCTTTTGGCCTGAGAATGCACCAGAGGACAGTCTAAGGCCATGTGGAAGATTTGGAAGAAGCTCCTGGCTCCTGATTTCAGATCAGCACAGCTCCAGTCATTGTGACCACTTGGGAAGTTGACCAGCAAATTGAAAAATCTGTGGAGGAACCTGCCTTTCAAAAAAAAAAAAAAGCCCCTGACTCTCCTAAAAACAGAAAATGAAAATACTAGTAACAGCAGGTTAATTGCAGAGGATGACCACAGCAAAGACTAAGAACCTCACGACTCTAGGAAGGATTTGGCTTTGACACTAGCTCTGAAAACACCGTGAACCTACACCAAAACTCAGCTTCCAATCACTCTTGGTCAACTTTACCCTAATGCTCTCCAGTCTCAGGAACTTTTCAGTTGTTTTCCGATCTTTCAAATGTCCTTAATCATGGTAACTCTATTATTAAAGGCGCTGTGTGTTGTGAGAAACACTGAAGCAAGGAAGAGAGGTCGAATCTTGAGAAGTGGACAGAAATGACCTTACAGAACACACCTGAAGAGATAGAAAAGCTCATGGAAAGAGGAGCCAATGATAAGAGAGAAAAAGAGGAGAGAATGTGTTTGATGTTATATGTAATCACATCAGAGGCACACTGTTTACATTCAATGCAACTTCAGAGCTTAGCTCCTAATCATCAAACCTCTTCATATTGGTGTGCCACTGGCTTCACAACTGTGCATTCTCTGAGACAGACTGCATTTCTAAAGCAGGGCACTGCAGATTTGGGTTGGTGGCAAGGGGTGAACAACATGGCAACATGGAGAAGTCATTTGTCTGCTGTGGCATAGCCAGTTAGTGGTACTACTAAAATGTTTCTCTGTTCTTCCCACTGTATTTGGTTGGTCTCTATCTGGTGCACACTCACATTACACCTACGAAAATTTTACCCATGCGAGAAGCAAAGTCCTACTTTCCATTCTCAGTTCAATAGGACATAGGTATTTATCTCAGAGCAGGCTCCAACATATAACATTTCTCAAGGTATGAGTCAGCACAATAAAATCATTCTGGCATCCTCGTTAAAAATGCATAGTTTGTAAGGCTTGCACTAGTGCATAGCAGGAAGCCTCTGCTTGCAGTACCAGCATCCCATACAGGCACCTGGTTTGAGTTCCAGTCACTCCATTTCCAACTCAGTTCCCTCCTATTAGCAGCATTAACATTTTAAAAGTAACAGAAACCTTCAACAGCGACAGAAAACTAACTAACACAACTGCCCCATGGTTACTTAGAACCAGCCCAAAAGATGGAAAGAGTAATTCAAAATATTCTTGGGAAAATGGTATTAAAGGATGACAGTGGAGAAAAGTGAGAAATGTATGCATACCCACAGCTCGAAGGAGCTCTAACAAGCTTTAAGCTTAACACACTACACCACATGGCCAACCCTCACTTAGTGGGGCCAGCATTATGGTAAATAGGGCCGCTGCCTGCAACACTGGGATACCATATGGATGTCAGTTTAAGTATCAGATGCTCTAATGGACCCATGTGGGAGATTCAGATAGAGCTCCTGGCTTTGGCCTGGCCCTCTCCCAGCTGTTAAAACCATCTAGGGAGTGATGCAGCTGAGGGAAGATCTCCCTCTCTCTGCCTTTCAAACAAATAAATCTTTTACAAATATATCTATATTGTGACACACACAAAAGTACATTAAGGTCAAATTTTAGTGTCCACAATAAAATTCTATTGGAATACAGATATAATATTACGTGTTATCCTTGACAGCTTTGTGTTATAAAAACAGAATTAAGCAAATGCAACAGAGACCACCTTTTCTGGTTGTTTCACAGTTTCACACAGCTGCTCAGCATGCTACAAATAATACTGACAGTTATGCCACATATAACTCACGTGAGTGCAAGTCACATTCAAAGATAATATGTAAAACTCTCATTACAAATCAGTATAACTGATGAATCTTTGCAATTGATTTGATAATGACATTAAACCAAAATTAGGCTAAAATTTTTTAAAGATTTATGTATTTTATTTGAAAAGCAGAGTTAAATAGGGACAGAGAAAGAAAAGGAGTTTTCATCTGCTGGTTCAACTGCTGGTTCAACCCCCAAACGGCCAAAACCACCAGGGCTGGTGCAGGCTAAAGCCAGTAATCAAGAACTTTTCCTGGGTCTCCCCACGTGGGTGCAGGGGCCCAAGCACCTGGGCCATCTTCCACTTCTTTCCCAGGCCATTACAGGGAACTGGATCATAAGTGGCACCCTCACGGGACACTGGCATTACAGACAACACTGGCCCCAGCAAAAGGCTTTTCTCTTCTCATTAGAACTGCATCACACACACAAAAAGGTTCAAAGTTATATTTTAAAATTTCACCAATTAAAAGTATGAAAATTGTTTCCTATGTCATATAGTATCTTTGTTTTGGTTTTTGGCCTACAAAATCTAAATTTTATTATCCAGGAAGTCTGCTGACTCCTACATTTTACATAGTATGCCTTTATGTCATGCTTTCTGTGGTGGAAGAATGGTTTCTCTTTTGAGGAGTAGGGCAGGGAACCCCCAGGGATGAGACCAGCTACTTTACACTTAATTCTGACAGAGGCTTTAAAATATAAAACAAATGTACTGCACTACAACCACTGTTGTCCATTTGACGGCAAATACCTTGGTTTTCATATATGCATATGAACACTTTTGATATTTCTTTTCTAATTGTATTATGTTATTGTCTTCTAAGAGTATTGCAAAGTTGCAAGCATAAAGGTCGAGTTGTAGCTATGTGAGCCACACAACCAAAGATCCAATTCTACCAACACAATAGTTCCAAGAGCAGAGGAGCTGATAATTAGTACCGCTGTTCAGATAGGTCTCTGACACAATATGCTTTCAAAACGGCACAACTATTTCACCAAAATAATGCTTATTTGTTATACATACTAATCATCTCTCCATCTAGTTTTCCTTTTATAGTGCAATGTGACTCAACAGAACACAAAATGCAGCACATACAGGTTTTAAAAAAATGTGCCCATATTAACTGGGCCACGTGAAAAGCAATAAATATATGTTTATGATTTTTCCTTTAACTAAAAAAAACCCGTTAATTCCTTCTGGAAGAACCTCAAGAAGACTGTTCTCAGCAAGGAGGGAAAATACACACATAACTTGGTAAACTATTCAACTAAAATCAAGTTGCCAAAAGCAATTCTGATACAGTACTTGCACTTCCCTTTCCTAAATACAAACAGTTGCTGCTTCAGTTGTCAGCCAGGGCACTCAGACAAAACTTCATAAAACCTCTAATGTTAAGGACTGTTTAAAAAAA